GTGCCCGTAGCTGGAGGTCATGGTCTCCCCTCCAATCCCACCCACCCCCCTCTTCCCGCTCGAATCAACACCAAACGCTGTGGGCGCAAGGGGGGGAGAGGAGTCGAGTGGGGAAGAAAGAGGGGGGAGTGGAGAGAGAGAGAGAGAGAGAGAGAGAGAGAGAGAGAGAGAGAGAGAGAGAGAGAGAGAGAGAGAGAGAGAGAGAGAGAGAGAGAGAGAGAGAGAGAGAGAGAGAGAGAGAGAGAGAGAGAGAGAGAGAGAGAGAGAGAGAGAGAGAGAGAGAGAGAGAGAGAGAGAGAGGACCCCCTTCTGAAGGGCAGAACTTTTCGGCACCAGTAACTTTGCCGCAGCCTCGGTTGCTTTCCTGAAGCCAAGTCCGGCTCGGTCCAAAGAGACAATCCACACCAAAAGTTTTTTTTTTTTTTTTAAGTTATCCTATGCTTAAATCAGGAAGAAAAAAAAATCCCTTCGAAGACACTAAAAATAATAATAAGGGGGAGAGAGGAATGGGGAGGCCAGCAGGGCGGGGGAGTTAGGCAAACAGAAGAGAGAAGGGGTGGGGAGAAGAATCAAAGTGGGTTAAAAAAAAAAGAAGAAGAAGAAGAAGAAGGTTAAAAAAGTTATTCCCCGGCAAAAGTTCAAGCACCAACAGAAGGAGGCTTGTTCCAGCTTTAAAATGTCTTCAAGAAAGCCGTTCCCCTCTCTGCACTCCTGTGGATTCTCGGGAGTGACTAGAATTTCAGGAGAGTGATGTCTTGCAGATGTATTAGAGGGCAGGATTCTCACTTTACTTTTCGTAAGGACAAAAAAAAAATAAGAAATAAAGAAGTAGGACTTGAAGAGTCAGCAGAGGGCGGCGGGTCCCCCCTTCCCTTTTCTCTCTCCCCTCTCTGCGTTGAGTTCCTCTCCCCTTCTCAGTCGGATCAAGAAGCTCTCTGGCACTTCAAAAGGCACAGACTGGCATGGAGAGGAGGCTTTGTAGGGAATACAAGAAAATTGGAGACCCCTGGGAGGGCAGATCTCCACTTAATAGGAGCCTGTAATTACGTGGCAAAGCCTTTGTGCGGCGCCTGACGTTTTACAGACCCCCTTTCTCCATCACAACCTCCTTCCTCCTTTCCCTGGGACCGAAAAAACAGCCTGATTAAGAAAACCCCCTTTGAGAGAAAGAGAGAGGGAGGGAGCAAGAGAGAGGGAGGGAGGGGGAAGGGAGGAAGGAGGGTGAGAGAGGGAGGGAAGCAGAGAGAGCCCCTTTGGATTTTTAAAATAAAGGTCTAATTATCATTCCCTTGCAGTAGTATCACAGAGAGAAAGGAACCAAGACCCACAGTCACTTTAAACGGGCTGATTATTTTGTTTGGGTATTAACTCCTCCGGATTTGTTTGAGATCCTGTTGGAAAATCTCATTTGCATGCTTTGATAACAGCTGAGGGCAAACTTGTTGGGGGGGGGGAGAATGCACATCTATAACAATCAAACCTTCTTCTGCTGCCCCGCCCCCGGCAACTTTTCCTGCAGATTTGTTTTGGCGAAGAGCACAGGGAGAGACTGAGACAGAAAAGCAAAAGAGCAAGCCCATTAAAGCTCGTTTGGCTCTGTAGAGACAGCCTATTAAATAATGTAATAAAATAACAAGAGCGATAATAACTGGAGGCGCTCTACGTTCTAAAGGCAGCTTGGAGAGATCCAGAAGTCTTCAGCTTCGAATGGATTCGAGACTTTCGCTGCCACCAGAAATCTCCAGGCTTCGGACCGCAGAAAACTTACATACTTATTAAACAGAAGGAAAACCCGTCCTGGTCGTTCCCCTACCCTTCCAACGGGTGAAATTTCTTAGGTGTGGCCGAGGTCGCTTTCCCAGGAGACGAAGGTTAGCACAGAGGCTGTCCAAATTCGGAGCAGACAGGAGCACCCTGGCTGAGAGAGCTGGGGGAGCTGGGGGGTAGGCTCTGTGCTAATCTGTGTCCAGCCGGGTGCGGTCCTGGAAGACAGAGTCCGAGGACGCCGGGGTCCAAGTCTATGGACCAGGCTTGACAGAGGACAGAGAAGTGCTGGCGGTGTTTTCATGACCTGTTGGAATCTGGTAACAGCTTTAATAGTCTCATTAGGAATGAGTTACTATATGGCCAGTAAGTAAAATAGTAAGTGCTTATTTGTGGGGTTTTATGTTCTTTAAACACACGCATACATACGTTTCCCCTCATTCCCTTGATTGCTAGATTCCCTCCCCCCCCCCCCGTAGCTATGAGGTTGAATTGAAAAGGAGGAAGGGTCCCAGTGTGTGTAAATGGTTTCTGGGCTCCAAACGGCCATAGTTAGCCCAGAACTTCCAGCCCTGATCTGGGAAAAGAACATTTGATGCCATCAAAGGGTTGTAGATTGAAACCAGATGTGCGCGCCTCGGTTCTTTCCATGCATTTAATTAAGGAGCCAGGATGGAGGAGACTTTTTCATCATTAGTCCACCCGCTGCCCCTCCTTTTTCCACCCCCTCGCCTCCCTCCAGCCACTCGTGCCCCCGTCCGGCAGCCCCCCAGCCCCACCAGCGCACGATAGTCCTTCAGGCTCCGCAGCCCAGGCTCTGAGAGAGGAATATTTGTCTGCCAGCGCCTGAGCCGGGAAAGCTAGTTAGTTCTTGCGCTGGGAACTTGTGCGTGGGTGGGCTGTGCAGAGTGTGACTGTGTATCCCGGGGTGTCTTTGGAGATGCTAACGATGAGGCCTTGGGAGCCCAAGCCATCTGTGCCATTCCCTGGAGTGGAAGCCACTAAATGGGCAGGTTAAAGTGACAGGTTCCCACCAGCGTCTCCTGAGCTCACTCTCTTAGGTGAAAGCAGCCACCCCTTTTTTCTTCCCTAAGGCCAGCATAAGTCCCCACAACATCAGTCTCCCCCAAATCACCCCAGAACTGGAGTCTCACACTCTTTACTTATATAATTGGATTTCTTTTTCTTTCGGACTCGAGAATTGCCATTTGTGACATCGCCCCAGAGAAGTAGCCTTATTTCTGTATGCAGCCAGTATGGTTGATGACCTCGGGATATTGACAAGGAAGAGAGATCACAGACCATCCCCAGAAGTACAATCAGATGCCCCCCTTCTCTCTAGAGGCAGAGACAGGCTTGAAAATCGCCTTAGTGTTACCCATGTACATATCAACCACTGGTCACAACAGTATCAGCTAGGGTACTAATGGTTTCTACAGGAACTTTGGATACATACCTAAACATTTGTGTGCCAAATTTGTTTATAAAGTAACAAATATAGCACCTAGAATATAGCAAATTCAAACCTGTGATATTTTCCTAAGGTGCAAATGCAAACCAACTATGCTGCTTGCCGGCCTCCGGCATTGCTTCCACCTCTACTGTAGAATCCAGAAGCAAGGAAAGGCATACTAGAAGAGTGCCCTTTGAAATCTGTGGGCACAGAGTGTACTCAGGTCCTCTAAACTGGAACTCAGGAGTAGAGTCCTAGAGAAAGCTGCATCCTTTAGTGCCTGGGGAGGGCAAGGCTGGCTGGGCTACCTCCCAACTGGGTTTAGAGTCCTTAGAGGCTATGCTAGCTCAAAAGCCTCCTGGGACCCTGCACACTTCCTAGAAAGCCTTCTAGACTTCAGCTGCATGCTTTTAAGCCCCTTTGTTTGTTCAGGGAACTTAGAATGTGACCCCTGCAGTCAGGGGGAAGGTTGGCTGCTCTGAGAGAATCCCCTCTGAAGCAAACCCTCTAGGAAACCTGCAGAACTGTCTCCCATTCCACCGACTGACTCTCTCTCTCTCTCTCTCTCTCTCTCTCTCTCTCTCTCTCTCTCTCTCTGTGTGTGTCTCTCTCTGTCTCTCTCTCTCTGCAATTACAATCGGATTGGATCTACATCCTGATTGTGTTTACATATGGCATTTGTGATTTGTTGAGATTCTGGATTGCAATTAAAAACTGTGGAATAGCCTTAAGGGGAAATTCAAGACATGGCAAACAGCATTTACATCAGAGCCTGTGTTTGGGCAGGAGAAGGTGTTTCCAGATTCCAATGGAAACAGCACTATTACTGCTCTACCAAGACACTCAGCTCAGGGATAGGAAGGTTTTTGCCTCCTATCTCCTCTATGTCCAGGCTCTAGGATGGCTTATTGGCTGCAGGGGTGGAGCAAGGAGAAGAATGTTGAACCAAGTTCTCTGGGCTCAGGTTGCAATTACCAGGAGAGCCAAGCACTTTCAGAATTCCAGAACAGAATGACCATCTGGCAGAAATATGCCAGGAGGGGCTATTTAGGGAGGCTATGGCTACCAGCATGCAGTCATCTCCCTGGCAGGGTGCTGGACTGGCCTGAGCATTTAGAAGGTCCTAGAGGAAAGTGGCCTTGATTTGCCTTTGCCATTCTTTAATCACTATTTTTTTTCCCAAGTGACTTCCTTGTAGGAAGGTTGGAGCATATGTAGGCTTTCCCTTGCCTTTAGCTTTGACTCCTATTCATCAATCTTTATTTATTACAATCTGTAACTTTGGATGATGTAACTTACAGAGCTCTCTTCATAATAATCCACCCAGCACCTGACAATGTCTTTCCACCCATTCTTTCTGGTCTAGCCCCTTTAAAGAATTCCTGTTTTCAGATTCCTCCTCCCCCACCTCAGTGGGTGTAAATCTGGAACCAGGGAAGAGAGTTGCCAAGAGACTAGACCAAGGTAAGAAGGACTTTTGGTTGACAGCCATGTAGTCTTGGGTGGTCCTGCATAGGCTTGGTAGTGGTTATTGTCCAGCGTTTCCCTGGCACTAGAAGCTGGCACATTGCCTCATCTGGCTAGCAGTAGGTTTCCCACCTTAAGTAGCTTCCCCTCTGAGTTACAAGCCAGGAGTTGTGCTCTCTGGCATCTTAATTTGATGACATGATAATCACACATGAAAAGTCACAGGTTCCTTGACACATAAAGAACACAGTATTACTCTCATGAAAACAACATGTCAGGGGTGGAACTGCTTCCCTGACTATGACTGACAATCTGGTACATATTCATTAATAGAGAAATAGGGGTTGGGGGAGAAGTGCTAGCTGGATTCTGCAGGGTGCCCATATTTTAATATTTCTATGGAGCTTTTATGCCAGACTCTTTTATGCTCCTCTAATCCTAGTTCCCTGTAACTCTAAGTGGCATATTAGGAAAATCCCCCCTGTCTTGAGTGGATGTTTCCTACTTACCCCCAACTCTGTCCAATATTCCCTTTGAAAGATTTTAAAACTTTGCAGTAATTAAAGAAAGTAAGACCAAAGACACACTTGCTGGAAGTAAATTGATATGAACCATTCTACTGTAGAATGTGAGGCCAGTATATTCAGGGACCTAGTTTTACTGTATCTGCTTCGCTATCATCAACTAGCTGCGTATACCACAGGGGTGATTTTAATCAAAGGCACCTGCATGTTGGGAATACAAGTGAGCACCTCTCAGGCCTTGCACTACTAGAAGCCTCTGCTGTAATTGACAATGCAGAGTACTGTACTTGGGACACTTGGGACTTCTTACTAGTCCTCTATCCATGTCTCTGGCTGCTTCCCTCGGTCTTCTAGAGAATTTCTCTCCCTCTTAAATACTGATGTTTTCCTGAGCTCTGTCTATCATTTTTACTGCTCTTCACAATAAAGAGGCTGTTCTTAGATTTTGAACATACACATAGATTAACTGCTACTTGTTTACCCAAACCACCCTTGATCTTCTGACACATCCCTACCCTGTTTGTTCAGCATAAATTACTATTGAGAAATATCACAACCAGCCCTTGTTTACCAGCAAGTCTAAAATCCATGCTTTTCTTATTTTTGTTTGTTTTTAAGATAGAATTCCATGGAATAGCCCAGGCTGACCTCACACTAGGAGTCTTTCTTCCTCAGCCTCCTGAGTTCTTGGGATACAATGGTATACCACCAGGTCGGAGCTCAAAAGTTGTTAAAATAAGGTAAACTGGGCTAATACGGCTTCTACCACATGTATTTTAAACATTAAATGGCCAGGTATGCAACCCATTGTGTGCAGTACTTGTCATATAGTAAGTATTGAAAATAAGAAGAAAGCCTTCTCCCTGATGATCACACATGCTCACTGAGGAAAGTGAAACTTAGCATCTCCAAAGTTTGACTCATCATCCTCTCCCCATATGGATCCTCTTCCCTCAGTAGAAAATTAGTTATTTCAGCTTCCTCCATCCCAGATAGCACCCCTAGCTTCTCCAAGTAATTAGTAGTATCTACCAATTTTAGGGCTGGGGAGTTGATGGCTCAGTGGTTATGAGCACTTGCTGTTCCTCTGGAGGACCTGGGTTCCATTCCAAGCACCCACATGATGGCTTACAACTATTTGTAACACCATTTTCAGGGATCTGATGCTGTCTTCTGGCCTCTACAGGCACAGACATACATATGGTGCACAGACATACAGGCAGGCAAAATACCCATACACATAAAGAAAACTTAAAGACATTTTAGAGGGTCTACCAGTTTTATATAGCAATCTATAGTATTGACACAAAATAATCACCATATTCTGGTGGATTGAAATGGAGGAAGGTTAAGTAATAATGGAGAGAATAAGAAAAGATACATGAAAATTTGTAGGTGTGATATTTGGGTGTGTTTATATTGTGTAAACATGATATAGTCTGTAGTCAAGTTTCCCGGCCAAATAGTCTCAGAAAAATATGTGATGTGGGATGCCCTTCTGTATTCTGTGAATATGCTTTATTATTATTAATTAATAAAGAAGCTGATTTGACCAATAGCAAGGCAGAATAGAGCCAGGTGGGAAATCCAAACAAAGATACAAGGAGAAAAAAGGTGGAGTCAGGTAGATGTCAACAGCTGCAGGAGAAGCAAAATGTGATAGAATAATAGAAATGGTTAATTTAAGTTGTAAGAGATAATAATAAGCCTGAGCTAATAAGACAGTTTGTAGTTAATATTAAACCTCAGTGTCGTTATTTGGGAACTGGTGGGCAGGAGAGAAATCTTCTACTGTGTGTGTGTAGATGCCTCTTTGGAGGAACCCAAGCCTTTATCTGTCATAAGAACCACACACTGCTTTACACTGCCTGACCTGGTCTTCACAACCCAAGAGAGCGAAAGACCTCTGTCTCTCTCCTTTT